AGAGACAGAGCATGAACGGGGGAGGGGCAGAGAGAGAGAGGGAGACACAGAATCAGAAACAGGCTCCAGGCTCTGAGCCATCAGCCATCAGCCCAGAGCCTGACGCGGGGCTCGAACTCCCGGACCGCGAGATCGTGACCTGGTTGAAGTCGGACGCTTAACCGACTGCGCCACCCAGGCGCCCCTGGATCTGGACTTTGAATAGTATCGCCTCAGTGAGGCTCTCTCTAGCCACCCTAATACAATTTTTTAAAACACACACACACATACACACCACACGCTCACAGACATCACACACCCCGCACACATCTCACACACACACCACATACACACACGTGTGCACATACCACATGCTTTCTATTCTCTTTCCCTGCCTTATTTTTCTCCTTAGCAGTCAGCACCATCTAACATCCTATATGTTCTACTTACTCTGCACATTGTCTGTCTCCACTACCAAGGTATAAGCTCATGAGGTCAGTTTGCTCACTGCTGTATATTCCCAGGGCACAGAGCAAAGCCTGACGCATAGTAAGTGCTCAGTAAGTATTACTGGAATGAATGAATGAGAATACCAAAGGCTCAGAGAGGTCCTGCACCTTGAGCATGGTCACACAGCCTTTGAGGGCAGAGCCAGCTCCTGAAGCCAGGTCTGTCTGCAGTAGCCCTTTCCCCTCCATTCTCAGCGTGCTGGAATGCAAGGTGGGTTCTGGGAGGAAACATTTCCATGCCTTCCTTTCCCTGGTCTTGCTCCCAGTTTGACCAGAAAGAGCAGAAGAGCCTCCTGAGGCCTCGGAAGGATTACTGGGACTTCCTCTGCTCTGGCCTACGGCAACAGCGGGGCAGCACGGAGCCGGCCCGCTTCGTCTGCTCACAGGACAAGGTATCCAGTGCCAGCTGGCAGGGAGACTGGCCTCAGCATGAGGGGGTCCTGCCACCAGGCCCTTGATGGGGATGGCCTCTGGGAGCCCCTTTCTCACCCATGCCCGCTCCACTGACCACAGACCCCTCACCCGGCCCTCGTGTCTCATTAGCCCTGCCCTCAGCAGCCCTCCAGCCACCCCTTTCGTTCGCCAACAACACAAGTCCCCATCCTGTCTCTCTGTCCTGGCCGAATTCCCTCTGATCTAATACCACACCAGGCCCCCACCTCCCCACCTCTTCCCCACCATTTCGCCCCCTGTGCACCCTGCAGTTGAAGACTTCTCTAGCAAAAGGCCGTGCCTTCATCCGCTTCTGCCTAGCCCACGGACAGCTGGCCGAGTCCCTGCAGCTCTGCCTTCTGAACCCCGAGCTCACCAGGTGGGGCTGTTGGGACATGATCCTACTGACACCCTCTGAGTCTACTGTCTGTTCCTTGTGAAAGATGCCTCTTTGCCCCCCAGATGGATGGATTAATATCAAGGACAACTAAAATGACAGCCATGAGGGAAAAGTCCAGGAAGAAAGGGCAGAGGGGGCGTCAGAACCCAGGAGTCCTCGTAGCACCATGATGCTTAAGCCTCTTGCTCCCCAAGGGCCACAGCCCTGCTTGGGGAACCATCCCATGGTGGTGTATAGCAGAGGAAGATCCCCTGGGGGCGGGGGCGGCCACAGCACCAAGGCCAATTACCAAAGGCCAAGTCTGCTGATTACCGATAACACAGGGAATGGTATGGCCCCCGGAGCCCTCTGGTGTGCCCTGAACTCCGGGAAGACCTCCTGGATTCTCTCTATGCTCTCAATGGAGTGACCTTCGACTTGAACCTGCGGTGGCCGGACCTAGACGAAGCCTGGCCCATGTTCTCAGAGTGAGTGCGTCTAGCTTGAAGGGAAGCCTCTCTTCAGTGCATTCCTGCCATTTGACCACCACGCATCCCAAGCAAGTTCCAAACTCAGCCTCCAGTCCCATCAGTTCTTCCCTCCTTGCTGTCTGAGCCTCTGATTCTCCACCTCCCCAGACTTCTATTTTCCCGGCATGATCTGTCCTGTCACATGATGCTGCATAGACTGCACACTCACTAAAGAGTCGTTGGATGGTTGGGGTGGAGGGTTAGAAGGACGAGCGCATGGTGGCTGTTAGGACGAGTGGTGGGCAAGGCTCGTGGATGGATGGAGTGGGGGATGCACACATGAGGATGGAAGGGTGGGGAGGTGGGAAGGCGGGAGCGGAAGCGAAATGAGTGGGTGGGTGGAAAGATGGGATGTCCTGCTGCTGAGCACCACGACCACTGCTGGAAAGAGGCCCGTGGTCCCCCTGCCACCTTCCCTTGCAGGTCTTGCTGCCCCAGCCGGACCCAGGGAAGAAGACCCAGAAAGACCAAAGACTCCCCAAAGCAGGTGCCTCTGCCCAACTTCATTCTGATTTGCCTCTTCTCCGTCTCTGCTGGGCCCCACAGGATAGGCAGTAGCTGAGGAGACAGACAGACAGACAGAGAGGCCGGCATGTAGACCTGGGGACTGGGTAGCCACAGGACAAGAAAGGGCTCGTAGTCCTAAGGTGGTGAGGATATCGGGGAGAGAAGGGGGCCACTGGCACCATCTGCGGGAGCCATGGGGCCCAGGAGAGGAGGAAGCGGTGGGGAGGGTAACCGGAAGCGTGTAGGATGCACATCAAGGAAACAATCTCCGTTGGACAATTTGCAAACGTCTCAGTTCATTCAGTTGGAGAGATTGAAGAGTCGGGTTTCTGGGTTCAAATCCCAGCTCTGCCCCTAATAACCAAGGCCCTTGGCAAGGTACTTGCCCTGCCTTGCAGGGTGATTGTGAGGAAGTGTAGAGACAGCCTGCGTGTAGCACAGAGCAAGGCCCCTGGCCACGTGCTCCGTAAGCGGTAGCTCATGGCCATTGTCATTCCCCAGTCTCATTCTACACTCCACCAGCTTCCTAGCACCACGTACGGATACCGTGAGGACTCAGCCTGTGCCCAGAAGGGGGAACACACTGCAACGCCACCTGTTAAGTGCGGTGATGCAGCCATGCACGGAGGAACAGGGGAGCCTGGAGACGGCTTCTCAGGAGAGGTGACCCTTAGCTGCTGTCGGTCTGTTTAAGCTTTCACAACTCTGCAAGGCAGGCGTTATTATTCCCATTTTACAGACAAGAAAACTGAGACCCAGAGAATTTCAGGGGGCAGGGTCAGAGGAGAGGGTGGGAAGTAGAAACCAGATCGCTCCAGAAGACGCAGGGGAGGCAGGGAGGGGGGGACAGAAAAGAGCACTGAGAAGCACTACTGCTCCCTGACCAGGATCAAAGCTGGGGCCTCCCCTCCACCTGGGGCGATGTTAACATTCTGATTCCTGGGCCCTGAATCAATATTCCTTTAGATTTAGTAAGTTCCTTGGATTAGGTCTGTGGCCTCTCCCACCCACCTGGTTGGCAAATTGGTGCTGAGAGCAGTGATGGCTTTGGGGCTTCTCTGCAGATCTCAGCCACACATGGAAACCCCACAGCAGTCCAGCCAGAGGAGCTGCACACTAGCCAAACCAGCTGTCTGCAAGATGCACCCAGGGAAGACTGGTTGGCCGGACTCCCCAGGTCCCAGCAACAAAGGCACCTTCTTCCCTTTTTGGAAAAGAAAAGAGAAGATCCCAGGAGCCTCGGGTCCTCCCAGGGCATGTGGGAACCAGCAGGGGAGGAACTTCAGCAAGCCCAGGAGAAAGGAGCCCCAAGAACTGGGATCTGCCTGGAGATTTCAACACCCAGCATCCAGGGACAGGGAGAGGGATCTGAGAGGGCTCCAAAGGAGGTGATAGGCACAGAGGCCAAGGGCAGAAGGATTCTTCCCAGTGCGGAGGGGACTCATGAAGGGGGAGCAGAGCAGGGTCATGCCCATAGGCTACTGGCCTCCAGCCCTACAGGGACAATAGAGGACACAATGTCAGGGAACCAGCAGGAGTGGGAGGTGCCTAGCATTCCAGGGGAGCCCGGGGTCCTTTGGGGCCTGGGAACAAAGGAAGACTTCACCCCAGAGAAACCACAAGAGGAAACAGGAAAGACCAGTGTGACCAGGAGGAAGGAGCAAGCAGAAGTGGCCTTGCAGGATGTGGTCAAGGTGAGAGCAGTTGAGCTGTGTACCTGTCTCCTTTCCCCTCTCTAACCTGGCCCCCAGGTGGGAGTCTTCAGTGGTGCGGGGGGAGGGGTGCGTTCCAGCCCACAGATAATTTTGACTGGTCTGCACAGGGTTATTATTCTCTGAGAAGGTCTTCTTCAGGTCACCACAGTCCCTGCCTCTCCCTACGGCCTCACGGCAAGCCCACTTTATTCACCAGTACTACCTGCCTGGCTCCTGCAGGCCCTGGAGTCTGAGACCCCCCTCCCCCAAGAGTTCTTTGGGGGCAATGACAGGTTCTCAAGTTCAGTAGCCCTCATTATTGGCAGATTTCCCACCAATGTCTAAGTTCTGCTGCTGCACATCCCACCAAGCAGCTCTGGTTGTAGATGTTTCTCCTGGAGATCCCCAAGATCAATTTCAAGCCTTCCTTCCGCCTTCTTTGTATCCTTGAGCTCTGTAACTTTCATCCTTCAGCAAAGGAAGAAATCTTTCACCTGTTCCTCTCTCATTTTCCTGTTCCTGTTGCACAGTCCCCTCTCACTCTCTTGAATTGTGATCATCATCCTCTCCCAGGGGCAGTCAGAGCCGGGTTTCTCAGCTCCCAGTGCTGTCCTCAGTCCAGCCCTCCACCCAAGGGCTATCTCGCATGGCCCTGGGGCCTCATGGGGATGTTTGTCAGGTCACACCCGGGGCTGGGATCTCTGCCCTCCTCCTTCAGCTTCCCTTTCCTTTCCTTTACTTCCCACCCCCAAGAGCCTGAGATGTGGGCTCCGGAAGACCGAGGAGCGGGCGCAGCACCAGGAGCAGCTGCTGAAGGAGAAGGAAGGGGAGCTGCGGACACTACAGGAGATGCTCAGCAGGTAACCTTGGCAACCTTGGCAACTGCTGCCAGGTGGGCAGCAGAGGCCAGCAGGACAGGAGGCGCTCCCCGGCGCCCACTCACCTTCATGGCCACACCAGCAAGCGGCTTCTGAGCGTCTCTGGTACACCAGGCCCTGTGCTGGGCACAGCTTTGGGACACTGAGGCATTCAGGGCACTACTCCTGGGGCTCCTGGAGGAGCTCCCACCGACCCCTCCCCTCCCCTTGGCAGACCCTCCCTCACTGGCCTTCCCAACAGCCTGCAGGAGGGGTGCATGCCTCCTGTCCCTCCCTCCCCTCCCACACTCACCTTTATCTCTCTGCTGCCTCTTCCACTGCCATTCCCCTCTCTCCCAGTCTCCCTCCCCGCCCCTCCACACTCCTGCCCCTTCAGTGTCCACCTTTCCTCTTGTCCTCTGTCTCTCATTTTCCTGTTCCCTGTTGCACAGTCTTCTTTCACTCTCTTAATGCATAATCATCATCGTAACTATCATGTACTGAGCGTTTACTATGTCCCCGGCACTGTTCTAGGCGTTTCTTCCCAACACACTTATAAGATAAGTTCTCTAAGAATTTCCATTGTATAGATAGGAAAACTGAGGCTTAAAGGTGCCACACAATTCACCCAGTGTCACTAGTGGAGGAGCTGAGGTCTACACCCTGGTAGATGATTCCAGAACCTGTGGGCTTAAAGATGGGCCCTCCGCCAATATTTTGAGTGCCTGTATTTATTTCATTCTGCCTCCCCCTCAGCTACTCTTACCTCCACCTTCTCCAACTTCCTGTCATTACATTAACTGCAAGGGCCCAGAGAACACTTTCTCAGTGTCCGAGTTTCTCTTTCATAATTTTAAAAAATACCTCTGCTATGCGAAGATCTTCCTTGGTCTGACTTGGTCTCTCTGTCCCTCTCTCCCTTAGCTCTGTGTGCCCCAGTCAGTTCACCTGCCCCTGACTCTTGCACATGGCTGACACCTGCCCCAGGGCCAGAGGCACCAGCCTAAACCCCATCAGAGCCTGGGTAGCTGTGATTCAGACTGAATCATGGAGCGGTTTACTGACTCTTTGTTTCAAAGGCTGAGAGACACTATAGGCCCAGAAACCAACCCAAAAAGGCCCCCAGGGGCTCCTCCCACCAGACACTCAGCTGAGCCTGGGGGTTTGATCAGCAAGGATTCCCATGATTCAGGCCCTAGGTGAATGCAGAGGCCTTGCCCACCCAGAGGCCTTCTCTGGGAATCCAGACAGGCTGGAGGAAGCAGCTGGGAGGCTCCAAGGAGACAACCAGGCCCAGGCTGCTCCCTCAGCTGGGGGAGCCCCGACTCTTCTCCACCTGTCATCCAGTCCATTATCCACAGATACTCAGAGCTGCGCCAGGCCTGTTCTGTGTGCCAGAAATCCTCTTGCGGACAAAACAGACCAAATGCCTATCCTTGTGGAGCTTACCTTCTAGTGCAGAAAGCAATCTGTAAACACGATAAGCAGGTTAATTACATAGGATGTCAGATGTGACAAGTTCTAGGAAGATAAAAATAAAGCAGCGAATGGAAGTGTCGGGGTGATATTAAATGAGGTGACACAGCCAGGGAAGGCCTCCCTGAAAAAGTGATATTTGAGTTAAAAACTTGAAGCAAATGAGGAATGGGCTGTTTGGGCATGTGGTAGAACATTCCAGGCAGAGGAAGAGCAAGGGCCCTGAGGCAGGAATGGGCATGGCAGGTCCTAGGAATATCACAGAGGTTCAGGGGAGTAGAGGAGGGAGAGGAGGTGGGGGAGGTCAGCTGGGTAACAGGAGACCACAGGTCATCAAAAGGACCTTGGCATTGACTCAGAGTGAGATAGGAGCCACTGAGAGTTCAGAGCAGAGGGAGATGTGACTATTTGCTTTAAGGTTAAGTAGGTTTGCATTTTTTTTTTAACAATTCAGTGGGTTTTAGTGTATTCATGAAATTGTGCATCCATCACCACAATCAGTTTTAGGACATTTTAATCAGCCCAAAGAGAAACCCTGTACCATTAGCATCCACTGCCCACTTCCTTCCAACCCCCCAGCCCTAGGCAACTGCTGATTTGTCCCCATAGATGTGCCTATTCTGGACTGATCTGTGCTTTCAAGGGCTCAAGCTCTGTGGAGCTAGTCTGTAAGGAACCAAGGTGGAAGCAGGGACAGCGATGAGGAAGGGGAGGGCAGGGGTGCCTCTGAATGCTCTCTGGTCGTGGAGGTGCAGAGAAGCTGCGAGATTCTGGATTCACCGTGAGCTGGGGCTTCCTGGGGGGAGAGGGAAAGACAGAGTCAGGAATGACTCATTTTCCAGCCTGACCAGCTGGAAAGCTAGAGTCACAGCTGACGGTGTGCTGTGGCAGGGATCGCTTGTGGGGAAAGTTCAGGAGTTGAGGGGAGAGCATGCCAAGTCTGAGACACCCCTTAGGCATGCCAGTGGAGCTGTTGAGCAGACAGCTGAGTGTGGAGCTCAGAGAAGCCTGGGCTGGGGATCTGCGGGAGAGTCGTCAGAATGCAGATAGCAGGACAGAAGCTCCTGTGGCCAGGAGGGATCCTCCTGGGATCCAGGGACTCAGGAGGAACACATCACTCCAGGGGAAAGGGGCCATGGGCATCAAGCTGGGGGCGACTGTTTCACTACCGCCAGATTGAAGTGCCAGGGAGCCCACTCGGTCAGCAGATAGTATATTGTGACTCTCCTGTGGCCATGAGCATGGTGACAGCAGTGAATAGAACAGTCAGTGTCTGCTCTCACAGACCTGGGGACACAGACACTAGATCAACAAATAGGAATAGGATGTCAGGTAGTCATGGGCGCTGTTAAAAAAATCAGTCCAGGGAAGGGGACAGAGACAGGAGATTTAGAGTCACGCAAATTCACCTAGATTTAGGGTCATGGGGTTCCTCTCTGAGGAGGTGACAGTTGAGGAGAAACCCCAGCCACTGGGAAAATGACCGTGCAAAGACCGTGGGAGGAGTGCTCCAGGCAGGAGCGCCAGCAAAGGCAAAATCCCAGAAGTGCACTTGGAATCAAGCAAGCCCATGTGGCTGGAGTGGACAGAGACTCCCTGTGCTATGGAAGGCTGGAACAGAGTCTTGAGCAGGAAGTGGAGAGCCCCATGGGTTTCAGGACTACTTTGTCTGTGGTGTGGAGAATAGACAGAAGGTGGGCAGGCTAGAGCCCTTTGGGCACAGAGCCCCAGGCTGGACACATAGGGAAGACACAGTGGGCCAGCTAAGCCTGGCCTCAGGCCTTAGCAGACCAACCAGGGGCTATGAAAACACAGTTGGAACTGAGCTGTGGGGCACCTAGTACCCACTTCCTAGCTTTCTGGCTGTGGTACCTTGAGAAATTGGCCTTCCCTCTCTGGCCTCTGATCCTTGATTTGCAAAAGGAGACAGTTGGATCTCCAAAGTTCCTCCTTCCAGCTCAGATGCTCTGTGGGACCATCTTTCCAAGTAGGTAGGTTTCCTCTGCCCCTGGATAAGACCTCAAAGCAAAAGTGATTAGGGCAAGTATAAGTGGAAGAGGTCCTCAGACAGAATTAGGCAGACATCACACTTCTCCCCACCCCGCCCCCCATTGAGCTCCTTTGGGGCACACCAGGGGCTCATGAGGATCTATCCCTTGCTCCCACCTGCTGCCCACTCAGCACTTGTGCCATAAACCACTGGCGACCAGGCCCTGCACGGACAAAAGTATGGGGAGGCCAGTTGGGGAGGCCAATAGAGCTTATGGCCCAACAGGCCTGCGTCCAGTTTTCTTCTCCCTCCACATATCAAACAGTGTGACCCTGGGCAAGTGTTATTTCCTCTCTGAAGCTCTGTTTTCTTTCCTGTAAAATTATGACCATATCACCTGTCTGCCATATTTGTGAAAATTAAATGATATAGGGCATAAAGCACTAAGCTCGGGGGCTGGCGTGTAACAGGTGCTCTAGACTTTAATTCCTCCCGTGTCCTCTCCTGCACCAGGAGTGTCTGTCAGCCCCTGCTGGAAATACTTCAGTGGCTTCCCAATGCACTGAGGTTCAAGTCCACTCCTCCTGGGGCCAGTGAGGGAGACAGCCCTGCCCCTTTCCACCTCGTCTCTTGCCTACCCCCACCTCCTGCAACTTCATGGTATCCCAGCTTCCCTAGTCTTCTTTCAGTTCCTCAAACAAGCAAGTTCTTGCCAACTTGCAGACCTTTCCATGTGACCTTCTCTGGCTCTGCTTGGCTGACTTCTCATCTCTTACATCTGCTTAAAGGTCACCTTGTCTAAGAAGCCTTTCCTGAACACCCTCTCGAGCCTCTATCCACCCCTCATTTATCTCTGTCACACACTTAGCTTAATTATGCTATTGGTTTATCACTTGTTTTGACCACTGTCCCCAACACACTATAAGCTCCACCAGAAGCCGTAGGCACTGCTGTATTCCTGGCACCTCAAACAGCCATTGGCACACAGATGGTGCTTAATAAGTGTTCCCTCCCACCTCAAAGACACACACTAACCACGGTTTTCACATTGGGACCTGCACTGGCCACACCAAAGGCCCTGGGATCAGTGTGCAAGTAAACTAGCTCAGGAAAATCAAATACCAATATTAAGAAACAAGGACACTGAAGGCCAAGATGTTCATTAAAATAAACACAGCCCTGGTCCAGTGCCCAAGCACAAGAACACCCTTCCTTAAAGCTGCAGGGACTGGTCTTTTTGGAATTATGGTGGATCTCTGTTGTCAGTTTGACTTTACAGCCTACCCAGCTTTCTTCTCTGAGGTGTGCTACACGGCAGTGTTGTAAAAATTCATAATTCAGTTCATTGGCAAGCCTCCTGCGAGTCTCAAACACACTGAAGCCCAGGGGTGTGGCCGTGCGTGTGTGTGTGTGCGCACACACACACCCCCCACACACACACCCTGAGGTCACAGGATGTGCACCCACCTTTGCAACACCCTCCTCATCTGAGTGATGGAGGGCGGGGCTGGGACTTTCTTATTTCTAGTGCAGCAGATTTCTTGGAACCTTCTAAGAAGCCACCAAAGACAAAAAAAAAGAGGCAAGAATAGAGCTGAGGAGATTCTCAGCCCAAACTGAAACAAAAATTAAGGAAGCCATATGTTTAACATTATTTTCTTAATTGAAAAGACGATGTACCATAATTTTTCAAAATATTTTAAAACCTAAAAATATCCCCCTAAGTCCTCCACCAGTTACCCCACTCCCAAACCAACTGTTGTTCGCAGCTGGGCAAAGCCCATCCAGCCTGGGTTGCCAGATACCCCCCTTCCCTCCAGAGAGCTGCTGCAATTGTGGGCATGCCTTTCAAGAAAATTACATTTTAAGATGGAAATGTTAAAAAAGGAAAGAAAAGAAATACAACCAATGGAGATGTTAGCTCACCTTCTCTAAAGAAACACAGGAGGCTATACCCTGTTTTCATTCCTCTGGACGGTTGGTAAGGAGTCAGCCTATAGATGGCATGCTATCCGTGGTGTTCAGCTTGGTGTGTGGTATGGCATGTTTTATGTGTGTGTGAGTATGTGTGGCGTGGGAGGGCGCGGGGGTATGGAGAATGTATGCAGTGTGTGTGTGTGGAAGGGAGTGTGTGTGTGCGCATGTGTGTGCGCGCATCAGCTATAGGAGGTACCACCAGCTTCCCCCAGGAGCTCCCTGTCAGGTAGAGGCCCAGCCTAGCTTGGTCACAGATGCTGGGAACTGAGTCTTCCTTCTGTGCCCAGGTGTCAGGAAGAGAGGGCCCGGCTGCAGACAGAGCTGGAGCAGAATCAGCAGGAGGCTGAGAGGAGGGACACCATGTATGAGAAGGAGCTTGGAGGGCAGCGGGACCTGGTCCACGCCATGAAGATGAGGGTGCTGGAACTGATTCAGTAAGGGTGGACACAGCAGGGCAGGACTGCAGAGGAGGGGATGATATGGGATGTAGAGACTGGGTGATGAAAATTCTACTCCGCTGAGAACTGTCGAGCAGAACTTTAATATATGCTAACTCATCTTCTTTTAGCCACCCCAGCTGTTCTCCTCATATCACAGATGAGGAAACTGAGGGTCAGAGATGCTGACTTGGACACCAAGGACACACCGCATATAATTGCATGGATTCCTCTAGCTCTAAGGCACACCACCACTCCAACACAGCCCCACATACACACATACCTACTAAGGTTAGGGGAAGGGAAAAGAGCCCATAGATGGAGAAGGATTTGAGAGAAGAAAAAGGGAGGTTAACCAAGAGGTAATCATATGTGCTACCCCTGACTGCCTGGTAGACTTCCTGAGACCACTGGGCCTGTAGGCCATCCCAGGTCAGCTGCCCAGGTACCAGAGAGCTCACCAGGATGGATTCCAAACGACTAAACCACTGAGCAATGGAGGAGGTGTGTAAAGCCTGGTTTCCGCCCTTCAGTCTAGTAGGGAACTAATGCTATACTTTGACCCAGTTCAGGAAGCAGGACAGCATTGGACTTGGGTTTCATTAGAATTGGAGGGTCACTGAGGGATCATCCAGGACTAAATCCTCTTGCAAAAAATCCAAGTGATATTAAAGATGAGAGAAGGGAGAAGTCAACCTGGAAAGAACAAACAAAGAATTTAAGAATGACCTCCTCTACAGAGCTGTCAATGGGGAAAAAGGGAGATATAAAAAATTAGCCATGTATCTCACAAAAGAATTTAAGGTAGCCAACAATAAAAGACATATACATATGATTGTTAAGAAAAATAGATGAAATGGAAGAGGAAACATTCATACTTTTGAGGGATTAGGATTAGGGTTAAAACTTAGCTCTGAGCATCTTGGCAGAATCAAAAATGGAAACACAGTAAGTTGCCTAAATGTCACTATGCATTCCAAGGAAATATACCAGTTCATCAGGAAAGAAAATTTTTTTTCCTGTGTTAAAGAAACTCATCACAAGATCCCAAGATACATAATATAATGTCCCTTGCAGAAGCATCATGGAAAATATGGCCCTGAGCACAAAGTGGGCAGGCAAGCTATAGAGGCTGATTTCTGCATCAAGATGGTAGACAACACATCATCTGCTTTCCATCCTGAGATCTCAGTAGAATGATTGTAAAAATAAATAAATAAATAAATAAATAAATAAATAAATAAATAAATAAATTAAATAAAACTTCTAATAGAGAGAAAGGTGGAGGAGCCAACCACAGATAAGAGATTTCAGCTAATTTCCAGAAGCCAGAAAATGGATGAAGAAGTAGAGACCGGATTTAGCCCAAGTTAGAACTTCAGGGACCAGAGACACTAGGAACACAGATGGCAGAAATGAGATAAGGGACAGCAATCAGGAATATTGACCGATAAAGTCATTGGAAACATCAGTGTATACCCCCTGCTTTCAGCCTGCTTCCCCAACTTCAGAATATCAACCCTGAGGGGTCTATCTCCCAGGCAAATAATTAAAACTTCCTTCTCTAAACAAAGTTAAATGCCCCAAATAAACAACAGTGTGTTCTGGCATTTGACAGTCTGATGCAGCAGTTAGCTTCCTGCCCCATCCTTCCTAAAGAGAAGCCACAAGTCAACCACCCCTGTCCACTGTTGAAGCTCCAGCAACTTAAACATGAAATCATGACCATGGATCCTCAGATGTTTGAGAAGAGTCTAGAACATAGAAGCAGAGACAAAGGTAAACAAAAAAGATTGGTCTCTTATGCAACAGGATAATGTGAAAAGTGACCTACAAAAGATGAGAAATGTTCTTGGAAATTAAAAATATCTCTGAAATTTTAACTCGAGGATGGGAAAAGGAAGAGGAGGCTATCTCTCAAAATGTAGAATAAAAGGCATAAAAAGATGGAATACATGAAAGAGATAGTTAGAAACATAAAGAATCATTCCAGGAGATTCACTATCTCACTATCTCTTCTCCAACTGATAAGAATTCAAAAAGAGAGAGAGAGAGAGAGAGAATATCAGATAAAAGTATGAGAGACTTTCCAGGCTCTAATGGTTGCAGATCTTCAGATGTAAAGATTTCACTGAGTGACCAGCACAATAAGTGAAAGGGAGCAAAACCCACATTGAGATACACTGTTGTGAAATCGCCATAAAACAAAGATGAGGACAATATACTCAAAGACACGTCACCTATAAAGGAAGTAGGACACAGAAAAACATGTTAAGAATCAATGGTGCAATACTTTCAAGTTCTGAGGAAAGCTAACTTTTGCCCTAGAATTCTAGATCCAGCCAAACTATAAAACAAGTAGAGAAGGTGATATGGGAAAAGACATTTTTCAGAAAGACAGGCTATAGAAAATTTACCTCCCACAGGGCCCTTCTTGGGAAGTTAATTAAGGATGTGCTTCGGAAAAACAAGGAAGTAAGCTTGGCTTACCAAGAAAGGAGAAGATGTGGAATTCAGGAAACAGTAGCTCTAGCCCGGGAGAGAAGAAAAGGGAATTTCCAAGATGACAAGTGGCTGGCAAACCCAAGGAGCAGTACATCCAGGCTGAAACAGAAGTACTGAGGAGGAAGGTCTCAGGGGAAAAAGAGAATCAATACCTGATATGATGAAGAATTTGTTGAGGAGAGGGTTAGGCTGTGTTAAAGGCAAGTCATGCAAGGACTTTGCAAGGAGCAAAGAAAGGCAATTAAAAAGTCCTGGAAAAACAAAAAATTTCCAAGGAAATGTTTAGAACACATCTTAGCTCTCCTTGAAGCAATATGCTTATATATTTTCTAATAATATAAATACTATTTATTGGTTTTTTCAATGTTAGAATCAACCTAAAGACAAAGCACAGTAAACAATTGTGATTATAGAACAAATGTAAATGTTATTACCTAAACAACATTAAGTACACAAAATAGAAGCCAATAGAAATTTCTGTGAAGATGGAAATGTTCTATACTCGCCCTGTCCAATACAGCAGCTACCAGTCACATGTAGTGACCGAGTACCACAAATGTGTCTGATGTGACAGAGGAACTGAAGTTCTAATTTTAGTTAATTTTAGTTAAATGAAATATAAAGTTAAGTAGCCCCATGTGGCTAGTGGCTACCATATTGGACATAGCAGGAATAGATAACAAGTAGGAGGTGGATGAAGGAGGCCAACCGAAGAGGAAGTGATGCTGGTATCATCATATTACAGAATGGCAGTCAGGATGCTATCTGTGCTTCACAGAATGAGTGAGAAATAAATGTGTGAGTATATTCTGTAAAACTACAGTAGTAATAGAGGAACCAAAAATAGGGATATAACCGCATGGGGAGGAAGGAGGTGGAGTTCAGCGGGGATGGTAATAAACAAGCTAAGTCCTCTGACATCAAGGTAAGGAGCTCTGTAGATGTTCTCTCTTGATATATTAAAAAAAAAAGAGGATATGAGCATATTACTTAAGTGTGGAAGTAATATCAAAGAGAAAAGCGACAAGTGTAAGAGGTGGTTTGCCATTGAGAATGGAAGGAGTAGGGAGGGTGTCTATTTCCTTTTGATATAAGTTCTTCTGCACTGTTGGATTTTTAAATCGTGTGTATATATCATCTTGATAAAAAAAAAAAAGACTTTAAACCCACATTCCTAAACATCCTTTAAAAAAAAAACAACAGTAAAGATAGTTTTGCAGGAGTATAACATACATAAATACAAGGGGGGTTGTATCAAGTGCCAAATAAAAGATAAGGGCATCGTAAGAAACTTATGGGGGCTTCTATGATCAGGGAACACTCCTTGAAGGAGGTGGGATATGAAGGTTCTTAAATAATGGATCAAGGTTGTATTGGGGGAGGGGACTGGGGTGTCACCATCCATCTTCCCAAAGACTGCAGACTCATTCACCTCTTATGTGTGTGTGTGTCTCTCATGATCTCTTCATTTCTTTCCTTCTCTGTCACTATGTCTCTCTCTCCGTCTTTCTCTGTATTTTTCTCTCCCTCTCTGTCTCTGTCCCTGACTGTCTCCACATCTTTTTCTCCTGGCCTTTCCCTCTCTCTCTACATTTATCTCCCTACCTACCACTCTGTCTCTGTCTCCCTCTCCAACCCCCTGACTTCCTTTTCTTGTTTCTGTGTGTGTGTATCTCTGTATGACTCTCTCTCTCTGTCTCTCTCTCTTTCTCGCTCTTCCTTTGGTCTCTGTGTTTCTCTTTCTCCCGGTCTCGGTATCTCTACCTGTGTCATCTCCATCCTCCTGGTGTGTGTGTGTGTGTGTGTGTGTGTGTGTGTGTGTGTGTGTCCCCACCTCCATCCACTCATCAGAGAGAAGGATGACCTGTGGCAGAAGGTCCAGCATCTCTCTTCCATGGCCCCCGGATGCTGTGTTGACTGCAGCAAGGTCTTTGGCCGGCTGTCTCGGCGGTACCCATGCAGGTAATGGGAGAGCACAGAATTTTTCCTCTGGGACAGCCCTGCTTCCACCAGCCCACAGCACTCTACCCTCTCTGGGAAGGGAGGTGTCACAGGAACTGGGCTTTCATGAGAGCCACGTAAAGCTGGCCATTCACTTTACACAACACTTAGCATAGACATGAGCTAGAACAGTGGAAAGGAGTCAGACAAGCAACAGTGTCTGGAAGATGGGACTGTGCCAGCCTTCCAAGAAGAGACTGATTAACAGGCTCCTGGTCTGGGAGAGATCTCCTGTACAGAGGAAGCTGCTCCCCTCATCTTCCTCCAGGAACATGGTGGCAGGACCAGCCATGAGAGAGAGGGAGGGGGGCCAGCAGGAGAACCTGTCATTGCCATTTAGAGGACTCTGGAGGGGGTGGGGCACTGGGACGCCCTTTAGGAAAGGGGAGGCCTCCTGAGACACACTGCTCTGATGGGAGATGAGAAACATGCTTCCCTCCCCCAAACACATCCCTGAGCTCCCCACTCTTCCCACCTCTGCTCCTAGGCTCTGCGGAGGCCTGGTTTGCCATGCCTGCTCTGTGGATTACAAGAAGAGAGGGCGCCACTGCCCACCCTGCTCCCAGAAGGGAGCAGCTCAGTTCGACCAATGAGATCACCCAAGAATGGCCACCCACCCCATCCCGTCAGCTCCCTCCCCTCTGCCCTTCCCACCCCTCTGGTCTGACCTGCCCTGCCTTCTGGAAGTTGGTGACCTAAGGCAGACAGCACTTGTGTGCGCATTCTGTAGTGTGGGAGTGGAAGGAGCCAGGCTGGCAGGCAGGAGGCAGGTTGAAGCCCTGCATCCACCATCCATGAGCTGGGCGACTTGAGAGAGCTCACAGCTGTCTGGGCTTCTTCTGTAAGTGAGGGAGCTGGGCACCATCCTCTCTAAAGTTCCTCCAGGCTCAGAATGTCCTTGACCAAGAAGAAGACCCAGGGACCCTGACATTTCCCACACTCCCACCTCACCCAGCCCACTGCTCACCACACTCAGGAGCATCCTGTCTGCTTTGAAGGTCTGCTTTTGTTGTGTTTTTGTCTTTAACATCTTTCCTGAGTTACTATTGACATTTAACACACTTCACATAAATTGTACAATTTGATGAGTTTTCACTTTAATATATACCCATGACACCATCGCCATACTCAAAATAATGAACATCATTCCCATCATTCCCCAAATTTCTTCATGCCCTTTGTAACCTCTCCCTCCTCCTCCTCTCTCCCCGGCACCCACTTATTTGCTTTCTATCACTGGAGACTAGTTTTCCAGAATTTTATATAAATGGAATCCTAATTATACACTCTCTATTGTCTGCCTTCAATAGTCCCTTTTTACTATTGAGTAGTATTCCACTGCATGGATATACCACAATTTGTTTACACATGCAACTGTTGCCTGACATTTGGATTATTTCCAGTTTGAGACTGTTACAAATACATTTCCTATAACCATCTGTGTACAAATCTTTGCATAGACGTTTACTTTTTTTTTTTAAGATTTTTGTTTTTTAAAGTAATCTGTACACCCAATGTGGGGCTTAAACTCACAATTCCAAGATCAAGAGTTGCATTCTCTATCCACTGAGCCAGCCAGGTGCCCCTAGACCTTTGCTTTTATTTCTCTTGGGTAAATACCTAGGAATGAAATTGCCAGGTCATATGATAAGTATATGTTTAACTTTTAAGAAACTGCTGAGTTGTTCCCAAAAGAGTTGTGTGTTGGCCCCTCCCACCAGCAGTGTGTGGGAGGGCCAGCCACTTCGCAGAGCATCTGGTTTAGTGGGCAGGAGAGGAGGCTCAGACATGAGGCTTGGGCCTCTCTGTCCTGCCCTTCCAACCACTGTGGTGACTTGGTCAGTCCCCAGTTGTGAGTGCCTGGACGGAGGAGCTGAGACTAGGTAACTCTCTATGCAGTGCTCACTCAACTAAACTTTAGTAAAGATAGTTATGAGGATTTGTGTACCTTCATGGTACAAGACCATATCCCCTGACTGCCCAAGAAGTCTTACACAAATTCTGTGTCATTCCCTGGACTCCCAATTGTGGTGCTTCTGAGGATACTGTTTCAGAAGAAGCACAGGCCCCACTCTGTACCAGATAGGGATTAGCTGCCCTATCTGGGCTCCAGGGCAGACTCTGTGGCCCCAAATAGGCATGCGTGCTATTATCCCCATCCCCTCTGCCTCACACAGACTGCCAGAGCCTCTGCAGCAGTTGGGCAACCTTGTGGCTCTGACCAGCGCCTGTGGACCGCCTCTTGGGGTCAGGGACACCCAGAGTTGCATCCCATTACCATAGCATGGAGCAAGAGTTTTGCAATAGCAGTTCCTGCCCTGGAGAGCTGGTAAGAACTTCTCCTTAGCAAAAGCTACAACAAGGTGAGGGGCACGGAATGGAGGGAGTGGAGGGGGGCAGGGCTGGGGCTCTGGAGCAATCAGGGCAATAGAATCACCCCTACCCTAAAGGACAGCGATCCCTTGTTAAGGATTAGATTTGCTCAGATACTTTTATTAGGTTCTTACTATAGTGCACGACATCATGTTCTAGTTGAACTCCAGTGTCGAGTTCAGGCCTGCCTGATGAACTGATGGGAGGGAAGAGAGGTAGCAGAAGCCAATGTTCAAAGAGAAGGCAAGATGCTCCTGGACAAGAACTCATCAGAAGGAAATCAGGGGCCAGAAATGGGGCAGCTTGACCTTCTCCCCGTTTGGGTGGGATGGAAGGGCTATGCTGAGGACCAGTCTCTAGCTCAACACTGCCCCCCAAAGAGTCCACACCAACTCCAATGAAGAGCACAAAAGCTCCACAAAGACATTAGAAGAGCTTGTTAGACCTTGGGGAATCCTCTGGCAGAAGGTTCCACAAGGGTCACCAAGGGTACCGGTCCTTCAGCAGTGACTCCAGCACACGTGTCTAGCGCAGCAGCACGCACAGGAGCGCCCGGGAGACATTCCCAACAGACCCCCTCAAAATTCCTGGAGAGTACCTTACAGGGGGATGAAGCCCTGAATGAGCACAGAGGGTTTAAGCCAGTGCTATTTGGGTTTACTGCTATTGATGTGACTATTGACTATTACTGCTATTGATGTGGTGGGAAATTTTGGCAACATAATTATTTCTTTCAATTAGATGTCATTCAGATCCTCCAATGTACATCAATCCCCCTACTTTGTCAAATATATATATATATATATATATATATACACACATATATATGTATATAATATATATAGTCTGTATATATTTATTTATGTTTATATTTTTATATGTATATTACTTATTATATATAAAATCCCTGCTTTGAAGAACCTCACAGTGGGGAGGAGGGAGCAGCCAGAGATTACAAAACCCCTAACTGAAGCCATGATAGAGGTAAGCCTAAGGGTGTGGACAACACAGAGAGAAAGGGCTGCATTCCATACAGGTCATGACTGGGCTGAATCTAAAAGGAAAAAGGAGAGGTGCCTGGGTGGCTCAGTTAGTTAAGCATCTGACTCTTGATTTCCACTCAGGTCACGATCTCAAGGTTTGTGAGTTCGAGCCCTGCGTCAGGCTCTGTGCTGATGGTGTGGAGCCTGCTTGGGATTCTCTCTCTGTCCCCACCCTACTTGTGTGCACTCTCTCTCAAAATAAGTAAACTTTAGGGGCGCCTGGGTGGCGCAGTCGGTTAAGCGTCCGACTTCAGCCAGGTCACGATCTCACAGTCCGTGAGTTCGAGCCCCGCGTCGGGCTCTGGGCTGATGGCTCAGAGCCTGGAGCCTGTTTCTGATTCTGTGTCTCCCTCTCTCTCTGCCCCTCCCTCGTTCATGCTCTGTCTCTCTCTGTCCCAAAAATAAATAAACGTTGAAAATAAGTAAACTTTAAAAAAAAATTTAATTTTGTAATGTTTACTTTTGAGAGAGAAAAAGAGACAGACAGAGTAAGAGGGGGAGGGGCAGAGAGAGAGAGAGAGAGAGAGAGAGGGACACGCAGATTATGAAGCAGGCTCCAGGCTCTGAGCTGTAGGCACAGAGCCCAACATGGGGCTCAAACTCGCAAACTGCGAGATCATGACCCAAGCCGAAGTTGGATGCTTAACTGACTGGCCCACCCAGGCACCCCAAACTTAAAAAACTTTTTAAAGGAAAATGGACAGTTGACCAGACCAAGAGGGTAAGGAAGAACCTTCCAAGGGGAAGGGAAATGCATGCCAGGCTCTGTGGGGGAACCAAACAGCTCTTTGGGGAACTGCAAGTAGTTCCCTGTGGCTGTAGTTAAGGGGTCAGGGGGATGTGGCCAGCAACAAGGCTGGAGAAGTACACAAGGTCACATGCAGGGGCACCAGTTGCCCATAATCGGGAGATGGGCTCTACCTGAGGTCAATGGGGGGTCCTCCAAGGGTTTTAAAAGGAAAAGAACATGATCAAATTCACACTTTTGGAAGATGGTTCTGAGAGCAGAGTAGAGGATGGTTTAAAGGGGAAAGATTTGAGGCCGAGATCACTTAGGAGAATAGTTGTAGCTGTCGTGGTGGTGGGGACGGTGATCTAGTGGTATTGGTGATTAGTAGTGGTAGGAACAGCAGTAGCAAACGGTGCCAAGCACCATTCCAAGTGCTTTATAAATATAGACTCATTTAATCTGCATGGCAACACTCTAACATGCAGTAGGTGTTTTCAACAGCCCCATTTTCCAGATGATGAGACCGAGACCCAGTGAGACTAAATAACCTCCCCAAGGTCTACAGTCCAGCTCCAGAATCCACAGCTATTGCATGAGGACTGCGGTGTTGCCTAACACTGTCAGTGAAGATGGCGATAATCAAGAGATGCTAAAGAGATAGCCTCTGAGACAGGGGTGTGCGAGAGGCGGGCCGTTCCGGTTGGGCAGATGCCCGGCTAGGAGGGTGGGGTCAGAATTCCACGAGACTGGTTTTCTACCTGCTCAGCTTGCAGCACCTGTGGAGCCTCAGCAGAAATTTCAAGAGGTGGCCCCGTGAGGAGTTGGAGCTTAGGCGAGAAGTGCAGGAGGCAAGTCAGGAGCAAAAGGTATGGGAGATCCTGGCCCTTACTGGGTGGTCATTGAAGCCAAAGGGGGCAGGTGGGCTGGCCTGGGGAGGGCAGGGAGAGAGGAGGACCCAGGCAGAGCCCAGAGGAACATCCAGATTTGAGGAATGAATTGAGAAACAATGCCCCAAAGAAAGATGAAGAGAGGTGCAGGAGAAATAAAAAAAGAATGAGGTCAGGGGGATTAAGTGCTACAGAGGTTAAATAAGACTTGAACAATAACCATTTCACTATAAATACAGTTACAGGGCATGCAACGGGGGGGGGGGGATATTTTAACATAATTGGCAGACATGAGTAGATGGGGTAAAGGCCCCTTTTGTAAACTGACAACGGGAGAATAAATTGATACAGTCTTTTTCTTGAAGTATGGTTGACATATAATGTTATATTACTTTCAGGCGTACAACACGGTGGTGTGGACAATTCTGTACATCACGCCCTGCTCATCACGGTAAGTAGAGCCCCCGTAAGCTGGTACAGCCTTATCAAAATTTAAACATGCACAGATATGACCCAGCAAAATTATAATTAAGTCACACATACAATCATACAAGTTCCCAAAGACCTGCGCCCAAAGATGCTCGTAGCAAAATTTAAATATTCGTCCATAAGGTAATTATCGAATAAATCGTGATACATCCGCACCACGGGCCAGTATCTGTCACCGAAAAGAGAAAGACGGATCTACATGCACCGATGTGTTAATAGGTCCGCGACAGCCTATTAAGGTGCAGGATGGTACATGTAGCTAACTATCACTTGTTTTAGGGAAGGAAGGAAGGAAAACATGCTTGTATATGCATGGGGAAAAGTCTGGAAAGATGGACACAAGGTATATGTGAATCTAAGGATGGAAAGAGTCCTTCCTGTTTGACTTCAGATGCTTCTGTGGTGCCTCTATTCTTTACCATAGTCCTGCTTTGTTTTTCCAATATTAAAGTGGCTTGATTTCAGAAAAGGGCTTATTGGAGGCCGTGGCCTGAGGTCATTGGTAATGTTGGCAAGAGCTGCGTCAGCAGAGCGGTGGGAAGGGAGCTAGCTACAGCGGGCTGAGCGGTGAACAAGAGGTGGCGAGGTGAAGACAGTCCCCGCTTTCTCCAGAAGTCAGCCTGCGAGGAGGGCACTGGGAGAGTGGTAGCCGGAGGGGTCCTCCGACAGAGGGAGGGTGAGCTCAGGGAAAGGGATGGGGGGTGGGGCAGAGAGGCCGGGAGGCAGGACCCTCGAGGATGTGAGAGGCAGTGTGTTCCACAGACAGTGCAGGAATTTACCAGAAAGAGAAGGAGGGACACTTCTCACGCTGACTCTACAAGGAAGGAAGAAGGTGTGCAACCAGGGCACGCAAGCCTGTTCACGGGGACCGGGGTCGCCCGCATCTTCCTTGTAAAGAAGGAGGTGCAGTTTCCGCATGCTCAGCGACAGAGGTAGACTAGGCATACTTCCACCTTCAGACTGGCAGGCTCCTCCAGCAGCCATTAGACTTTCAGGTAGGCATGAAAATCCCCAGCGCTCATCACAGAATCTCCAGGCGGATCCTGGGCCTGGAGTCAGAGTCTCCGGACAGACCTCATTCCTCCGAGGGAACTCTCCCCCTGGCGGGCCTCCTGGAATTCACCCTGGGCAACTCCAGGTTCGAGGTTTCCCCATAAAGTCCACTTCACTCTTTTTCCTGTCCGACAGCCCTGACTGCTTCCAGCCCTGAGTCACAGAGGAGGTACCAGTGACCACTCCAATCACAACAGCAGCTGTAGCGGCGACAGCAGGTAAGTGAGTGTTCGGGCTGAGGGCCGCCGGGGGCATTTTTCTGATGGACGTGACTTTGAAACTTCAGTCTCCTCCACGGAGCCCCCGAGAACCGGGGTGATGAGTTTTCGAGCTAAAGCTAACAAAATCTTCACCCGGACAGCATATGGTACAAAAGAACTTACTGCAAGTGTGAGAGACTCTGTATCTGCACCGTCCAACGTGATAGCCACGCGTGGCTCTTGAACCCTTGAAAGATGGCTGCTATGACTGAGGAACTAAATGTTTTGTTTCACTTTAACTCATGTTAAGTAGCTCCATGTGTCTAGTGGCTATCGTACTGGACAATGCAGATCTAGAACAATCGCCTCATTTTCCAACGGGCCACGTCAAGGCCCAGAGAGAATTGACTTGTCTTAGTTCACCCTGACCATCAGCAGCAGAACCAGCCTGTTCTTTCTTCACCCCAACATCCATATGCAGGTGGTGGTTTCAGGGGAAATGAAATCAACCCGGTGGACGTCAAGAAGCTGGCAGGTGGGGAAATGTCAAATCTGGGCTCCCCCTACGGGGCGCCTGGGTGGCTCAGTCGGTTAAGCGTCCGACTTCAGCTCAGGTCATGATCTCGCGTTCGGTGAGTTCGAGCCCTGCATTGGGCTCTGTGCTGACAGCTCAGAGCCTGGAGCCTGCTTCAGATTCTGTGTCTCCCTCTCTCTCTGACCCTCCCCCGTTCATGCTTTGTCTCTCTCTGTCTCAAAAATAAATAAACATTAAAAAAAATTTTTTTTTAAATCTGGGCTCCCCTTTCGACACCTTTTCATTTAGTTGTCTGGGACAGAGAGGTACCTAACAGAGCTCAGAAACCTGAGGCTAGCATCCGGCCCCTTGTTAACAGTGGAAAGAATACAGGATTTAAGGTCCGGTAAAAAACATTGCTTAAAAATTGTTTAAGGGGCACCTGGGTGGCTCAGTCAGATGAGCGTCCAACTTCAGCTCAGGTCATGATCTCGCAGTTCGTGAGTCCAAGCCCCACATTGGGCTCACTGCTGTCAGCCTGTCAGCACAGAGCCCACTTCAGATCCTCTGTCCCCCTCTCTCTGTCCTTCCCCACTTGCACTCTCCCAAAAATAAATAAATTTTTTTAAAAAATTGTTTAAAACCCAGTTCCCTGCGTCACTCTGTCGAAGTTGCTTAACTCCCAGAGTCCAGTTTCCTCATTCACCAAATGCGTACTTCATGGGTTTGTTGAGAGGATTAAATGTACAGATTCTTTTTTTTTTTTTAAGATTTTATGTTTAGGTACTCTTCACACCCAACATGGGGTTCAAACTCACAACCCTGAGATCAAGAGTTGTTTACTCCACTGTCTGAGCCAGCCAGGCGCCCCTAAAATACAAATTCTGGAAAGCACTTTTCCCAGGAGCTGGACCCTGGTAGGCACTCAACATTATAGCTAATGTGACTATTGTTATCCAGGTCAGAGAAAGTGAAGATGTACATCAGAGTCAGCCTGGAAAGCCTACCCGCTGCTTTTCCTTGCTTGGGGGTATAGTGGAGAGACGTCATCGTATAGTTGATACACTATTTCAGTAATAAAGATCACAATGATAGGGGCGCCTGGGTGGCTCACTCGGTTAAGCGTCCGACTTCGGCTCAGGTCATGATCTCACAGTCTGTGAGTTCGAGCCCCGCTTCGTGCTCTGTGCCGACAGCTCAGAGCTTGGAGCCTGCTTCGGATTCTGTGTCTCCCTCTCTCTCTGTCCCTCCCCTGCTCACGCTCTGTCTCTCTCTCTCTCAAAAATAAATAAACATGAAAAAAAAAATTTTTTTTAAATCACGAGGACAAAGGCTAACATCATGCTTTCTGTACGTCTTAAGAATTTTACGGGTAATTCTTCAGTCAATCCTCAGGACAACCTGACAAGTTAGATGCTATCATTGGTCTCATCTTACAGATGAGTAAACTGAGACTTGGAAAGGAAAAGTCACTTGCCTAGAGCTGCTCGGCTAGCAGAATCCTTATCCTGCTTTCATGTTCCTCTCTCTATGTGTAACGAGCTTCTGTCTGGTTTTGGCATCACCCGGTCAGGAGTCACTGCGTTCTTCTCCAGCATGGGAAAGGGAAGGGTGACGAAGAATGTGTGCTAAACAGTTGGACCCAGAGGTTCTTTTGTAGGGGCAGGCAGCCTGGGTGAGTCTGCTGCAGGCTTTGAGAATATTCTGCAGGGACACACAGACTAACAGGCTAGGGTAAGGCGTAGTGGAGGGGATGCGGTGGGGTGGGGGCTTGGGAGGGAGCCGTGAATTCGTGTTCACTGCTCTGCCCGTGTTCATCCTTTCCATTGTAATCGATAGCCAATGTGACAAAACCTATTCCTAGTGCCACCCAACACTGCTTTCAAAACTGTTTGGACTTGGATACGTTGTTAATTTTTCCCCGAAAGGCTTTCTTTCCAAATCCGATGGTCTTGGCTCCAAAGACGGTAGCTACGGCAGAGCCAATCCCAAGTGTGCAAGCTGAGAAAGAATCGCAATGCCCTTAGAGGAGCCCCTGGTCAGGGCAGATGGTTGGGCAGGGAGGTGAAAGACAAGAGAGTGGGGTCCCCCCTTGGGGGTGGGAGTTCTCACAAGGATGTGACATGGAGAAGGCATCTGTGAGGCTTTAAGGGTTCCTGGGGTGAATGGGATGGGACAGGAGGCAGGAGGAAACGATCTTTGTCCTCTTCATGAGTCACTCTCCTTTGAGATGTGAAAGAGGTTCATGAGCCAGGAGCTGCCCGAGGCAGCTGGAGTGTGGAGAGAGTCAGACAAGGCAGCTGAAAGAACCAGGGGCTGCTGAGACCAGGGCAAAGGTGAGATAAACCCATGCTGTCCTGGGCAAACCGCTGCCTTTGTGTGGGCCTCAATTGCCTCATCTGTGAAATGGAAAAGATTGTCTAGAAAACACCATATGTCCCTCACCAATATGGGACTCTACCGGTCCAGAAAATTACTTGTGATCCAAGAGCTGACCTGGGAATTAATTATTCAAGTTATCAAAAGTATCCAGCACCCTGAGGACTCCACCCTAGAATTGAGCAATCTAAATCCTCCGCTCACTTCCTCCACTGTGTTCTCACCACAGCCGCCCTGTCAGTCAGGCACATCTGCCCTCCTGGACGCATCGCATTGTACAGGTGAAAGTCCCAGACTCCTGGTAAGTCTTGGAACACCTACCCTCTCACCTTCCAGAATGTTTCTGTTCTCTATTCTTCTTAACACCCAGCCTCTGTTTATCCCAGACACCTCTCCCCACCCTGGGTGGGCTTTATCCATTTTTAAGCCTCCCTGCCCCCAAAGGGAGAGCTTCTGCCCTTCATCCCTACACCTCTCTCCAACAACCACTTAGGGCAACTCTCTTCACACCCCCTTCCCTTCCTAACTCAGTGAGCTCTCCTGCTTTGGCTAGGATTGGGTCTGAGGAAGGGACAGACATTGCTGAGTTCCACCCCCCACCCCGTCCACTATATTAAATGCAAATATGTGTGGATTATATTTATAGAGAGAAAAAATGCTAAAATTGTATTGAGATGATTGAATTTTCCATTGCTGTTGAAAAGATTGCCTTCAATGTTTGGGATCTTATAAATGTCTCCGTTTTATAGCATTTTCATAAAATAAATTGGACTCATCCCATCTGTGGAATTTTTTTTTTTTTGACGTTTATTTATATTTGAGACATAGAGAGACAGAGCATGAATGGGGGAGGGTCAGAGAGAGAGGGAGACACAGAATCTGAAACAGGCTCCAGGCTCTGAGCTGTCAGCACAGAGCCCGATGCGGGGCTCGAACTCACGGAGTGTGAGATCATGACCTGAGCCGAAGTCGGTCGCCCAACCGACTGAGCCACCCAGGCGCCCCTCATCTGTGGAGTTTCTGAACGGCCATGATTCATCAAGGGTATGGCCATCTCACTCAATGAGGGAGTCTCCTGCTTGTTCACCGAGAACAGGACTGGGTGGTCAGTAGCAGCTAGCCAGTTCAAAGACGTTTGGTTTATCATTCCTGCAAGGGCTGTAGATTTCATTCTGGGTCTACAGAATAGCTAAGAAAGCACTGCACAAAACAGCAAATGATGGGAGTCAACCGTATACAGTCTGACTTCATGAGATCTTGAGAACTTAGCTTAGAAGTATATTTAATATATGAGGTATATTTTTTTTTTCATGAAGCAGGTCTGTAGACTGTAAGTAGCATGTGGAATCCTTGGCTGCAGCACTTGTAGGCTCTGTGACCCTGGGCTGGTTTTTGTGCCTCTCTGGGCCTCTCTTCTCATCTGTAAACAGGGGCTAATCATATCTATTTGTAACCATCAAGGGAGATCACGTACCTATGAGGCACAAAGCAGATCTCAGATATGTTAACTCCCTTCCCTTAGTTTCTCTCTTTAACTGTCAAAACATCCTCCCTAGAGATTGGTAAATTGAAAACCCAACAGGCAACAACAAACCTCGTCCCCCCCCCCATCCCCCAGTGGCTGGGGGTCATTGCCCTGGCCTGGTTCTCTTTCCCGAGTTCTCTACCTTCTATCCTGATTTGCGGGGTCTCCCTCTGGACCCTCCAACTGACACTTTGTGGAAGTACAGCTGAGCACTGGATTATCCAGAATGAGGGCATATCTGTGAAATATACTTGACTGCTGCCTGTCCTGTCCTGATAGGGAAGTTTCTGTGGCCATTGTAGCCCTGTCTTCTCACAGCCAATGCTCATAACTGGGGGGAGGAAGGGGTCTCCTCTGTGGGCACAAGTTCTGCATCCACTTTCAAAAATGGGCCTTCTCTTAGGTCACTTGTTTCCCTTGAGAGCACCTTTGATCATCAGTTCCCAGAGGCGACCTACCCTTGACCTTGTGACTTCCTTGGATGTGACCCTGGGATAAACATGCTCTTGACTATGGGACTGCGGAGCCAATGACTTGCAGGTCTTGCCAACAACCATGGCTGAGCCAGCTGTACCATCTGCCTATCCCACAACCACCTTCTCCTCCTGGCCAGACAGGGCACCACCACCAGCACAGACTGATCGAATCTGCTCTGTGTGTGGTCTCCATGGGCGAAGAGGCTAACTTAACTGACCTCCATCATCTAGGCAAGAAAGTAATAACCTCTCAGGAAAGTGAAGGCTAAGAATTCTGTCACTCTAGGGGAAAGGGCATTACCTTTCTGGTGTCTCTTATCCCTACCCAGCTTTCTTCTTTACTATGTGTGATTGACAATAACAGACTTTCTTCCGTTAAAGAGAAAAGCTCCCTGGGAGTTTCATTGTTGATGCTATTGTTTTACTATTTGTATTTGCTTTTCAACGTATTTGCCCTTTGGCTATTTTTTTTCTGGTTGAGATATAATTCACACACTGTCAAAGTCACCCACTTCCAATGTACAACCAGTGGTTCTTAATATATGCACAAAGTTATACAATCATCACCACTGTCTGATTCCTGAACACTTTCATCACCTTGAAAAGAGAGCCTGTACTCATTAATATTCCCCTCCCTCCAGCCCCTGGCAACCACAGATCTGCTTTCTGTCTTTACTGATTTGCCTATTCCTTCATACATGGATTCATCCAGTATGAAGCCTTTTATGTCTGACTTTTTTCACTTGGAATAATGTTTTCAAGATTCACTCACGTTGTAGCATAGATCAGTACTTCATTTCTTTTTGTGGTTGAATAATATTGCCTTGTTTGTATAGACCACAATTTGTTTATCCTTTAATTGGATGATGGACATTTGGATTGTTTCCACTTTTTGGCTATTATGCTGCTATGAACATCTGTGTACAACTTTTTGTGTGGACATATGTTTTCAATTCCCTTGGGTACATGTCTAGAAGTAAAATTGCTGGGTCATTGGTAACTGTGTTTAACTTTTTGAACAACTGCCAGACTGTTTTCCAAGGTAGCTGCACCATGTTACATTCCCACTTACAATATATGAGGGGTCCAATTTCTCCACATCCTTGTCAACATCATTGCTGTCCATCTTGTTTTATTATGATGATCCTAGTTAGTATTGAAGTAATTCCAGAACCATTTACTTTATGTTTTTTCTCTTTGACACTGGTTCCATTTTGAGGTGGGTCACAGACTTGCATATGGTCACAGGATGGTGATACCTCGGTATAAAGAAATGGCACAATGGTGACATATTTTGTGGTTCAAAAGCAACTAATTTGGTAGCTAGTCTATTTTAATTTACTTCCTGTTTGAAAACTGGGTTCATATTTCAGAGTGACTGCAGCTTCCTCCAGAGGCAGGCTTTGGGCTATCCCCGTAACAAGGGCAGAGCCAAGAGAAGTGGGTTTACCTGGGGAGAGTCTGGGGGTGCTGGGGAGTCAATGATGGATGTAGGCACTCCCTAGCAGGACAGAGAGTATCCCCACCAGAACTGGAAAGCCACCAAAACAAGGATAGTGTGTCTCCACCTGTCTTCTCTGCTTCCTGCTGCCTCTGCTCCTCATGCTGGGAGCACGCTGGCTTTCTCTGCTCACCTCTGCATGACACAATATGGCTCCTTAGAGCTCCCAAGACACTCTGTTTCATTGCCACCCACTTGGAGAATCAATCAGCCACCTGCTTAGGATTTTTAATATATTTTTTTCCAAACTACACAAATACTCCCACTACAGGTCTCCTGCATTCTGAAAGGAAAATACTGGGCTGTACTGAGTAAACTCTCCTTCTTCTAGCTCAAGTATCTTGCAACTGTATGCTGTTACCGCTAAATCTGTTTCCCCGCACACTTCTTTTAAATAACTTTCAAAAAGTTGGACAAAGGGCTTCCTCCCTCAGCTTTATAGTCAAACCTTGTTCTTTTTCTAGTGGTCAAATCCAACTGGATTGCCTGCTTCATCCCCCAGATCAAGAGCTAAATGGTACCTCATGTTTCTGACATTAAATTCAGCCTCAACAGCCAGACATGCTCACCACTGAAGAATCCAAGACATGCTCTATAGGGATTATTTGAAGGGAAGTTTCCACAATGTTTTGGGTGATGGTGGTGTCGTGGAAAGTGCTCAGAACCTCTCTGGCTTTGAAGGGAACTATACTCTTCATGCAATGTACCACTTATCACTAAGTAAATGAGTCTCAAAACCCTAGAGCCACTATTTCCTAACATGAAACTTGCTTGCATGTAATATACAAGCCAAAGCGAAGAGTCAGAGGTTTATGGGCAAACAGGCTAGAGTCTGGGGAGATGTTCCTGTGCAGTAACTCTCACCTCTCTTCTCTAGGCCAGGATTTAAGTTTGCCTCAAATATGGAAGTAGACTGGGATAATTACAGCTTGGAAGATCTCTTCGACATGGAAAATTATAGTTACAACACTGACCTGCCCACTATTCTGTCAGACTCTGCCCCATGCAGGCCAGAATCTCTGGAAATCAATCAGTATGCCATGGTAGTCATCTATGCCCTGGTCTTCGTGCTCAGCCTGCTGGGAAACTCCTTAGTGATACTGGTTGTCTTATATAGTCGGGTGAGTCGTTCTGTCACTGATGTCTACCTGCTGAATCTGGCCATAGCCGACTTGCTCTTTGCCCTGACCTTACCTATCTGGGCTGCCTCCAAGGCAAAGGGCTGGATCTTTGGCACAGCCCTTTGCAAGGTGGTCTCACTCCTGAAAGAAATCAACTTCTACAGCAGCATCCTGCTGCTGGCCTGCATCAGCGTGGACCGCTACTTGGCCATTGTCCATGCCACACGCACACTGACTCAGAAGCGGCACTGGGTCAAGTTCATATGCTTAGGCATCTGGGCCCTGTCCCTGATCCTGTCCCTGCCCATCTTCATCTTCCGCAGGGCCATCTATCCCCCCTATTCCAGCCCAGTCTGCTATGAGGACATGGGTGCCAATACTACAAAATGGCGGATGGTGATGCGGGTCCTGCCCCAGACCTTTGGCTTCCTCCTGCCTTTGATGGTCATGCTATTTTGCTATGGACTCACCCTGCGCACGCTGTTTGAGGCCCACATGGGGCAGAAACACCGAGCCATGAGGGTCATCTTTGCTGTCGTGCTCATCTTCCTGCTCTGCTGGCTGCCCTACAACCTGGTCCTGATCGCAGACACCCTCATGAGGCTCCAGGCCATCAAAGAGACCTGTGAGCGCCGCAATGACATTGGCCGGGCCCTGGATGCCACCGAGATTCTGGGCTTCTTCCACAGCTGCCTCAATCCCATCATCTACGCCTTCATTGGCCAGAAGTTTCGCCATGGACTCATCAAGATCATGGCCATCCATGGCCTCATCAGCAAGGAGCACTTGTCCAAGGACAGCAGGCCTTCCTTTGTTGGCTCTTCTTCAGGGAACACTTCTACTACCTTCTAGGCCCCTGCCCCTGTTGCAGCCCCTCGGGGCTCCTCCCTTGCCATCAGCACCCCATTCTAAGCCTCACGCCCACTGGCTGTCCACAGTCTCTATGTCAAGGCAGCCCCCGTTGTGGTTACAGGAAGTTACTGGGGTCACATCCTTATCAGGCCCTCCTTGTATGGTTGAGAAAGCCTGCCCTGCTGCCCCTCCCCTTACTGTAGTTGCTATGTCAGCTGCTAGAGCTCAGTCCATCCTACCACTGA